GTTCCTGCCCTTCGTGGCTGGAATCGGTGTGGCAGAATTTCAGTTCCTCCTGCGCCGCCCAAAATAATGCCTGAAATGTTAGCAACGGCAATTTGAAATTTGAGAGTTACTGTTACAAGCTGACATTCTTTCTACATGACTACTCAGCAGCGTTTTGCAGTGCAGGGAAGTTTATTCGCGAGTATTTTTATCAGCAAATGAGTAAATCCATTAGTTTGATGGTTTGTTTTTTTTTTTTTTTCCCTCTGAATGCCTAACACAGCAGCACCGTCTGTGGCATTATCAATAGTAAGATATACATAATAGGCTGCCTTTTTTTTTTTTTTCTGTCAAAAATATTAACTGTGGAAGAATGACATTTTAAAGATGGATATTTAAGTGGAAGGTGTATTTTTTGTTCCCCACTCCCTCTTCGGATTGTGCCTAAATTTATTTCTATGTCTGCTTCAATTACTTTCCAAACTGTAGCCCTGTAAAGCATTACAGTTCTCAAATCTATTTTTTTTCCCCCCAAAATAGAAGGCTCTTTTCTTTGCCTGTGTAAGCACAATTAAATTCTTTTTCTTGTTAGAAACCTCTAATTTTCATCTACAGTTCACTCTTTAAAAAAAAATCTTTTCTGTGTTCTTTCCTCTAATTTATCTTAACTTTCTTTTTCTTTTTTCCTAGTTCTCCTTGGAATTTTCTACCATCTGTAGCAATATGTACATAGCGATTCATCTTTACAGAATAGAAAAGTCATCAGCTATAGGTATAGATGTCTTCCTTGGCAATGGGGAAACCCGTGTGAGGGGGAAGGGAGTGAAAACAGGTAAAACCCTGTTCTCCTTACTCACGTAAATAGTTCCATTATCCAAATAGTTCCAAGTTCAATGGGATTACTTGTCAGGGTAGAACAAACAGGATTGAACCCCATTTGCTATATTAAATAAATCTAGTGAGCCTGGTATTTGAACATACTGGAGCCTGGATTTCTATGTTTTATCGAAGTTCTCTTTTAGTTCAGAAGAAATAAAATATTTGAATACTTCCCATATTTGTTAAAAATGGATGGTTATCTCCCTAAGTTGCATGATGGAATACCAGTCATAACACACAGCAGCGTTTTGCTTTTTTTTTTTTCTCCTCGACCTGCTGTTTTGGAGTTGCTTTTTAAAGTTACTAATCAGCTAGCTTTGAAGGAGACTACACATATCAGAGGAGCCGGGCTTGCATATCTGTTTTGAGGAACTTGTACTGAATGTGCCTGATGGTGCAGAGAGCTAAGCCTCTGTGGCACAGTGACTTCATTTTTTCAGGAGCTGATGGTGTCAGGGTTTGTAGAAAGTGCTCGGTGCCTGACGGGACTGGCTCCAAACAGAGCCCTCGTACAAAGACAGCTTCAGTTTTTTTCTTATGCAGCTTCATTCCTAATGCTGCTTTGTTGTTTTAGGTTACCGTCCTATTCCAACAGACCCTTACCTGGGAGGGAATTCACCCTTGCCACCCCCTGTAAGTGACAGGATGAGAAAGAGACGGGCTTTTGCTGATAAAGAGTTGGAGAACATTATGCTAGAGAGAGAGTATAAGGAGAGAGAGATGATGGAAGCTACACAAGCAGCTGCCCTTTTTCTCCCTAACCGCATGGTGCATGGAGCTGAATACAACTCGTATAAAACAGCTTTCAACACTGCTCAAGTTGATACTCCAAACAAGGAGTTTTGCAATTTTTTACCAGCCTGCCTTGATCTAACCATGCAGTATTCAGGATCCAGCAACATGGAACTAATATCTTCAAATGTCAGTGTAGCTACTACCTACAGGCAGTATCCCCTGTCCTCTAGGTTCTTAGTGTGGCCAAAATGTGGCCCCATTAGCGATGCTCTCCTCTACCAGCAATGCCTGTTAAATGCTACTACTGTCCAAGCTCTCAAACCTGGGACAGGTTGGGATGCCAAGGTCTCACAAAGTCAGGACTGTCCGAATGCTGAGCATGACATCATGTCTCCAAAACTAGAAAATTCACTCGTTCTGACCCACACGCAAGACATTCAGCAGTCATGTAATGAGATAGCTTGCCTTCCTCAGGAAGCTCGTGAGAGGTCAGCTTTCTCTCCTCCAAAAAGGACTTTCTCTCAGATTTCTGATAAGGATTCTCTGGCTCCTCAGGAACAGCTAACAAGCAAGATCAGCAAAACCAGTACCAAGCCCCCTCCACCGATCAAATACAATCCCTTTCAGTCACTGTTCCAGCAAACATTTCCTGACAGATCAGGCGCAGAGTTGAGAACATCATTCATGAAAGAGACTTTTGAAGATGCTTCTAAGAAATACAGAGAGTGTGCCATTAAAGAGAACCAAAAATATGAGTTTACAAGAGACAAATGCACAAAAGACTTCTTTGGGGCCAAACAGGCCACAACAAAACTTTCAACAACTGAGCCACTGTCATTTTCAGTTGAATCCATCCTTAAACGACCTTCTTCTGCAGTTGCTAATGTCTCTCAATGAATAAACTATACCTTCAGTGTAGAGGGCTTGTATGCTTTGCCTTCCGCAGGGTTGCTACTGCCTACCTTGTCTCTTAAAAGATTTGTAAAAAGGATTGTCTGCTGTAAATGGTAATTCTTCCTTTTATCTCAAAATGATGTATATAAATACACGTTTTCTCTTCTGAAAAAATAAATTAATTTTTTAACATTGAAACTGCATGTACAGACTGTAAAGTGTTGTTATTTTAAGCAACACTTCAAACCATTCAATAAAATGAGATTACCTACAAGCACAGAGGTAGGTAGATTCCTGATCTCTGTTTTGTCTCTAGTATCTCACAGGCAAGTATGCCCTACTTTCAGAATATATTTACTCTTTTATTTGCTATTATCAATGTACTTACTAGTTACCTTGGCGGGGTAAGTGGTCATTTCTGCTTTGAACCTCCAGTAACTAAGAGGTAATGACAGCGCATGTAGGCTAGTGTGAATTTGCAAGACTTTTTTTATTAACTTAAGTGAGATTTGGATCAGATTTGAAATGCCTTTCTTACTCTGAAGGGGGAGTGCATGCTAGTGTGAAAGGCTGGTGTATTCCATACCTCTCTATAAAAGCTTCTGTTCCTAAGGCAGAAGAGTTACTGGATTGAATTTGAGGAGAATGGCTCTGGTGAGCTTTTGGATAAAAAGTCAGAATTTTTTAAAATTCAGATTTTGACTAAAAAGTCTGCCTTTTTTCTTTTTTTTTCTGTTTTTTTTTTTTTTTTTTTTTTTTTTTTTTTTTTTTTTTTTTTTAAATATTCGGCTAATTTACTTTGGATTTCCACTCCCTAGATATTTCCCTTCTGAAAATATTTCACCTTTGACCAGCAAGAGGCTGAGATTCTTGTGTTGTGGTAATTGAAATGACCTTTAGGCTGTAAAAATGATGCACAGAGTCATTCACTGCTAATGAAAAATCAAGTCATGATCTCTCAGTTTTGTAATTCCGTCCTTTTGCAGCAATAGCAGAAATAAAGGAGAGTAACCAGCAGAATTTACCTGGGAACCTGAAATGCCCTCAAGGTTGTAGAAAAAGGCATTACCAGCTGTCACTATGACTGAACTTGAAGCTTGCAAAATTGATGATTTTTGAAGTTTTTCCCTATATGTTACTGCTAGCACATGTAGTGCTAACCGATAATCCCTTGGTTATCTTCCTCCCTTAACATTTTTCTCCTGCAGACAGTGCTCAACCAGTTGAAAGGAGCTGTGGTTTGTTCTTAATTTTTGCTATTTTCTAAGATCAATTTCTGTTTGGTATTGTAAGCATAATGTAATATTTTCTGATTTTATTACACTTCCCGCACAGATTAAATGCTTCTTTTGCTATGAATAAATCTGAGCCTGTGAATTTCTGATTCTATAAGTATCTTTGAAAGTGTTTAGTGTTTCTTCTGGGAGTGGTGTTGCCGAATAGCAGGACCCTTTTCATGGATGGGAGGAGTCGTCTGTCGTGAGTGCTTTCTAAGCCACTTCGTTAAAGCAACAGAGACATTGAAGAAAACACATTTTATGTAACGTATATTTTTACATAACACACCTTACAAAGCACATAAAAATTTTATGTCAGGAATGTAAACAAATTTGTTGTAATTTAAAAGAATCTTGGGCACTAGCTAAAGTTTCACTTTTCAGAAGCATTCACACTTAACTAGATTTTGCCTAGCTGAAAATACATGTGAAACGCAATGAGACGCTTTTCGTTTTTTCAAACTCTGTCCTTTATCGAGTTGCCGTTAGAGGGAGTTTTAACTTACTTGAGAGCTGAATCTGCTTGTTAATCAGTTTAGCAGTCAGACCAAGCTAAGCAGCTTTTACCCAGAGTAGATGGAGTGAAATTCTTCACATTTCATATTTGTTTGCTTTCACCAGAGCTTCCTTCTTTGGCTTAGTTGAACGTTAAATGCTAACAAGGGGTTTTAATTTAAGCAGGGTTTCCTTTGTTATTAAAAATATGATTTGTTTTGTTTTTCGAGCTGCTGGCATAAACTAGGATGACAGATGAAAGAGAGTTCAGCAATCTATATAGTGAACCAACATTGGATACTGGAATTAGTCCTGCACAGATATTTTTTTTTTGCCTGACAATGTGTGCATCTAATATTGTTCAATATCACATCTGAAATATTTGCCAGGGAGTCACTTGTCTTTATTTATCTCTTAAAAAAAGACCAGAAAACCCAAACCCTCCAACAGACTGGTACTTCTTGACCTTTTAAAGAACCAGTTGCGCTAAACAAATTCAGACTCTGAAGATATACCAAACACTAATATATACATATACACACACACTTATGAACATAATATATGTGTGTTCCAGATAGTTTTGTTCAAATCCCAGCCATCAGAAGAAGAGTGACATTTCTATTACTATTTGAAAAAATGTGACCCTTGAGGTGAAACTTGGACAAATTGTTTGCTTTGCTTAACAAATTAGTCTCAATGGAGTCAGCATTTGACCACCCTGTCTCACTGTCACTTGCTCATGTCTTGCTTCAGATCCACTAGCTGCTTCTCCCTGTACTTAGTTTCCTTTCATTTCGTAGACCCTGGGCATTAACTTTCATGCATCTTGAAAGCTCATTGCACCCGAATTGTTTTCCTTTCCTTTGTTAAAAACATGCATAAAGTCTATTGTTTGTGGAGAGAATGATTAGCAGCTTGAGCAAGATAGCATATACACAGACAGTGTGTTATTTTCCTCACACATCTTTGCCGTGAATGTATAGCACTCCTCCCTCTTGCAGCCATCCGCTTCTCTGAAGCAGAACTAGCGACTTGTCCACGTGTGCTGGTGCGGCTGTGCAAACTCCTGGAGAAAAGAAGTCATTGCTCTGAAACTGTCTAGCACTTACTGCTAGGCAGTGTCTCCCTGGGAATAAGTCAGCTGTTAAAATATCCTATGCTCCCCTATGCTTCCTGCTTTTTAAACACAGTATTTGTGGCATTTGTTGGCTATGTGGGTGCCTGTATCTCCTGTACAGTGCGACTGTTGTTCTCTGAGTACGAGATGCACTGTTGTGCTGTGCTCATGGACATCAGATTGCATTTCCCTTCTGACATCAGTTTTTCTTCTGTGATGGTGGAATGTGCTTGTTGGGAAGCTCAGCTTTAGGGCAGGGACAGGAGGTCAAGAACCTGTGTTGGCTGTGGAGCACAAAAAGGTCATGGAAACGAGTACAAAGAAAAATTACTCATTTGGTTTGCAAAATAGTAAGCCTGCCTGATGGCATTGTCAGAGACAACCAACTACTTGTTGAAAGTGCAGGCCCTCCGTATGTATGCTGAGACAAAAGTTTTTATAGGTGTACAGAGGTGTGTAAGTGTACAGAACTAGAGGAACTGGGAATTAGTACTATCCCACAGAGTGCCTGGCTTACTACCAGGCCTGGTGGCAAGGAGTGGGCAGTGGTGGGTTCACTTCGAGAAGAGAGAGGTTATTGACAGCTGCTGCAGTGATAATGCTGCTCCTTCATGTGGCACAGGATAATTGAGACTGGGGCTGTGGTGGGTGGGAGGAGAGTCCCGGCTCAATAGGTGTGGGTTGTTGGCTTTCTCTTGGGTGCTGGCTTCACAGAGGTGGCTGCACCTGCACTGCTGGCTTGCCACAAAGCCTGCCTTAAAGCTGTCATTTATCTTTGACATCGTCGAATCAGCATATCGAGCTGCTGGGCTGGAGGTAGGTCAAGGCACAGAGTTTGGTGAGATGGCTGGATAATCGGACATGAGTCATTCAGCTGATGTCAAGACTGAAATGCCTGTGAAATCACCAGCTGAATGCATTTGTGTTCTGGCCTGAGAACAAGACTTAGCCCTGTGCTGTCTGCTTGTCCTTCTGCTGTGACAAAGACCTGTCTGAGTTTTGCAGTCTGAGCTCCTCATCTCCTTGGGATCATAAAAGCAAGTCACTTTTTGGCCAGCTGGGAAGGCACAGGTCCCGGTAGAGTTAATGACTCTGAAGGCTGAAAGTTAACCGGCTCCCAGTTGCTATTGTTCTGGAGTCAGAGAATTTTACGCTGTCTCCATTTCTTTATTTTAAATGTAGAACAGGGAGGTATGTTCTGTTTTTGATTTGGCAGCTTGTTTGCATGATCAAGCCTTTCAGTTCCTGTACCCAACACTTTCTGTTCAGCTGACCTTGATGCAAAAGCTGGCACCAGGAGTCATTGCCCATGATGGATGAGATTCTCACTGTATCACTAAGTTCTTTCTCTGAATTTCTGCCAGCTGAACAGCATAAAGTACACATAATGTCTCCTTTAACTCAAATAGTAGTCATGAGCTGTTTTCTGTTTGCTTGCATTGAAAGTAAGACAAACTGTGGCTTATGCAAGAAGTGCTGCTCAGGAAGCCTGTGCCGGCAGGTGGAAACCAGTGGCAGAAATGTCAGTGTGACTGGGGAGACAGGAACCAGTTGGGGTTTTCTGAGAGGAAGCATTCAAACCGGAAAAAAAAATCAAGTCATTCAATGCTGCCAATTCCCTCTGTTCCTCTCCCCAGCACCAGGTCCTTGTGAACAAGCTACAATGATTTTTCTCTCCAGAAACAAGTCAGAGATCAGGTTCACAGGCTGCTGCCATCCCTTTTGTTGCCATTCGGAGTTGGTAGCCTGAAGCCAGTAAGCCCTGCTGTTATTATGACGGATCGCCTGCAGTATCGGGGCTGATGCTGGCACTGCTCCAGGGTCAAAAACTGAGAGTAGGAGTTGACCCCTCACCCTGAACTCAGCACTCCAAACTTTGCATGGACGTGAGGGCATTTGGGGATCTGGAATGAAAACTCACTGTCTAACCTGTGTGTTAACCACAGGACATGCTGCTGTGTCTGGTTTTTGCCGACAAATGAGAGCTTCCAGAGTGACTGACAGAAAAGACAGGAATGAATCCTCATATTCAGTTACGTTGAGAGATTACATTGGAAGAATTGGAAGAATGAAAAATTACATTGGAAGAGGGTGGTGGCCCTTTTCCTGTTTTT